TTATTTAAAGTGCACCGATAATGTATCAGACGTAGTTTTCTAGAGATAAAAATTTAAATATTTGCATTTTTAAGAACATTTCTGATCAGTAGCCTACACAACATAAAATTACAAAACATAATATCATAATAGAAAGGAAGAAATAATCCTCAGATAATGATGAGATACAGCGTATTAAATAAACGCTATACACCAGTTATGCTGGATTGTGTGATGCAACAGATAATTTCTGAAAATTTATAGTTCATAGGAATGGAATTTATGGTTTCGTGTTCATTTAGATCAACAATTTGTTTGAGTTTAATTACAATCATCTAACGTCCCAACCTATCTGATTTCATTGATCAAAGTTGATGACAGTAAGTTAGCAGATAATTCATTGGTTGATATTCAAAAGATCATATCAATGAGCAGCAATAAAAAGATATCTAGAATCACTGTAATATATACAAATATATGATGCTCAAACTATTCATCGCTTAAATGACTGTAATCATACAGTAATATGACTTGATTAAGTCAGATAATTAAGTCATACCCTAAAAGGTCACCAAAACAGCAAGATACACCTAAAAATCAATAGTTGATCAGGTAATCTTTTAAATCTGAAATGAAAAGTTTAGTAAGAAACTTTGTTTAGATAGCAATAAATAAATTTGGATACGTTACAAAAGTATCCGGTTGGAGATTGAGTATTCTATTCAATAACATGTTTCTTAAAAACTAAACACTGACCCCTTTACTTTAGCGTCTGAGTAACAAGCCATTTTTCGGATGACCACATTGTTACACATTTCGGACAGAAGATTTAAAGCCTCTAATTTTAGTAGGAAATATGTAGAGAGAAGGTTGAGGAAACGTGGGTTTCGGTGAAATCCTAATCGATTGCTCGATCTCTACGATGCCATTTATTTGACTTTCACAGTAATAATGTACTGATTCCGATCAGAGGACGATTGTGTATGAACTTGGTCTCAATATCCACCCGATAACCTATGTTTGATATATCTATGTTATCACTAAAATACACACAAATAATGGAGTTTAACAATCCAGTACAAGAATCTCATTTGGCTGATTTACCAAACTACAAGTCTAGGCTTTGACATACACAATGAAAGAAAGTGATACTAACTAGCTGCCCAAACCGATGAGGAATGGAATTTGATTCTGTAACCCACTGATTGAAAATCAAGTGCTCAAACTAGCAAACCACTGCTTTACAATACAGGAATTTTTCTATAGTTACCAAGTTCACTAGATATCCTGACAAAATCTGGGATATCATTGGAAACTTTAGTAATATACAGAGGATTTCAACAGTAAGCAACAAACATTTGCTTACAACACAATAAGATGTCATTTCGTATCAGGAAATTAAGTACCATAGTAATATGTAATCAACAAAGAATTACTCAAAGATTATGGTGATATTAATTACCTAAAAATGTGTAAAATAAATATTAGCACTTTGAACACAAAGAGCCTTGGTTCAATTAGTCAAGGCACTCGGCTTTCAGTCAGTTGGTAGCAGGTCTAAGTCTCTGTCCACCTGTCCCATTTATATGCAGCCGGGGAGTATTACTAACCTACACGTGCATAGTGAAGCTGAAGTCCTGGTGCATAAAAATATGTTTTGGTAAATGATCTCTGAATTAAATGTGACAAAACAATTAAGTAGGGTAACAAACATATCTGGGTGAGGAACAAAAACGGAAAGTTAGCTAATGATTCTGCAATATGACGAAACATGTATCCTGAATCCCAGTGCTACCACAGGCTTCTGATAAATGAGCAAGTTGAATTTTCGATAAGTTTACAGGATTATTAATAATCACTATAATACTAATATCGGCAGATGTTCTAAGGATTTATTTTCTGTGCTCATGAACACCTTTCAACGTGGTGAGACGGCTGTGTAGTTGTATTGTAGTTATTGTTAATCTTGTAAACTTATGAAAAGTTTAAATCGCATTCACTACCTCATTTTACTATTTCATACTGAACTTATATCAATTCGTACACTAAGTGATCTCCCATTAAACATTTGACTTAATTTGTTACTACATTCTTATTTTTCTTATCCAATGTTCTCTATATCAACAATTATTATTAACCAAATAGTTTCATTATACACTGGTCATTTCTAACTTAGACAACTCTAATTCACTAACAATCTTAAGTTTATATGCATCAATTTTAAATTAAGTATTTGCCGCGAACTTTGGTATTCATTTGGATCATTGTTTTAGACATAACTAAAGAATATGATGAGAATTTATTGAAAAGTAGATGCCCTGTTCATATACCTTTGTTTTAAATACAGACTTGTGGTAGAAACAAAAAATGCTTTTGATATCACCTAACTAGTTCGATAATTAGACCAGTATAAGCTGGTTAATATTGATACGAAGTTGCACAGAACCAATTATAATCCATAAACAAAATAGATAAAATGTGGCTAACAATAGAATCTAGAACACACGTTTAGTTTTGTTTGGGACACGTCAGCTGAATATATCTGCACCCTATTGGATTAAATGAATGTATTGAAACGATTCCCTCAGGGTCAACTAAAACTGATCATAATCCAGCCAAAATAATAAAAACAGGATATTCCAAAAGACTGTACATTATAATACGATCATGTTATTTGGGAAGTCATTTAAATTCAATCTTCCTCGAAATAACATTAGTGAGATGAAAAAAAGATATTTTTGAACTTTGAATTGATTTTGTTTTATCAGAGCACAATCTAAGTAGACAAGATTACCCATGAAAATGATATTGGAGTTTCAATCTTTCTAAAATGAATGTTAATTATTTAAATTAGGAGAAATGTTCGTTTACTAGGAAAGATATATGTTGCATGTAGTTTCTAATCTTTTGCACTATCCCAAGCATTAAAACCGAGTCAGTATAATGATTCGATAATAGTAAACAACATGCCCGTATCACAATCTAACCAACGTTGAGCTGATTTATTTTGAATCGGCCTTTCACGTCAGTGAATAACATTCGATTTCCGAGTCTCATCGAAATTAAGGGATATATCCTTACAAACGTAACACCACTGACCAAAATAATGTCACATTTGATTCTTCCACCGTAGTTGTTGATTCCAGTGATATATATATACATAATTCGTAAACATGACAGTCAGATTGATGATATACAATTACACGAAAAAACCAAGATATTACTAGCCAATCAGCTTATGGTCAGCATTATCAATCTAATTTAGTTTGATACTTTAAGTACTATCTTATATCTTACTTATAAGATACGTAACTCAGAAAAGTATATCATTATATGCCTTGACCAACGATGTCTTAAACACTAAGATGTTAGTAAACTTAGAATTTTATGTGGTGCTAGATCACAGATTTTAACGTCATCGTCGACTAAAAAGTTTTAGAAGATAAGTATTATCATTAAAGGTGATAATGAAGACAGATCAAAAACGCACAGCGCTGATTTGCAGATAGACACGAACAGTGTACAAGCTAACACAAAGACGCGTCGGTTTAAAATGTTACACCACATCAGTGAAACTAGAGGAAGAGAATTAACACGAAAATAGACGCATAAGCTAGACGGCAAGACAAATAATATTGGTACCGTAATAGAAAAGGAGGGAAGAAAAATCCAAGGATTAGAGAACTAGAGGGGCATTCGGTGCTAATGTACTAATGTGATTAGTATTTTGTCATATTCCTTTACATGCCCAACTTCTGATTGCGGTTGTCATTTTGGTACCAATAAGGAAGTATCAGCAAAATATTGAGTCGGATTTGCGTCACAAAGTAATTCCGGAATAACAATCGCTATGGAAACAGACTGAGTAGTAACGGAAATAGAGAGAATAATAGAATGACTTTGACAAGATGTCGACACATTTAAATAAATGAAATTTATGATACCGTGATTAGGAATCAGTTTTAGTATTTATATTTAGGAAGTGCATCTAATGATTTAATGTTAAGATTAGAACGAATAGTCTGAGTTTTACAGTTAAAATTACGATCTACAGTTAGCTCGTAATTAAAGGTTTAGGATTTAAGGATTGCCTTTAGGTTTCCCTAACCATAAACTCTATAGTATAATCCTAACCAAACCCTACACTGCACATTCTAACGTGAATCTCAACCAGATCCTAAACTTTGTACTTTAACTGTTTTTAAATACGATTTTTTGATGTCATCAACTGGTAGCAGTTTATCTTTTATTCCACCTACGTAGAGCATAGGTTCATTTGATGTCTGAGCTGTGACCTTGAAACTACTTGAGCGTTCACCATTGGCTCTCCTCCATAATCCAGCTTAACCAATATATTACACTATGTTCATGGTAGAAGAGGAAAAACTTACTTCGTCTATTTGAGATGAAATTTTCTCGAAAATTATGCAAGCTGGCAAATAAGAAGAGGGCATACATTGATTTGTGACAAACAGCCACTAGCCACTAGACAATATGCCGATTAAACTCTTGGATTTGCCACAACCAATTCTAACAGTCAGTTAGAAACAAAAGAATTAAATACCATACATTCAACGTGTTACGCCCAGTCACTGTGACTACCTTCAGATTAATAAACAAAACTTCTGTAGAAAACGAGAAAGATTAGAAAATCATTCTAATTGTAAAGAGTTTAGAGGATGAGTTTGTGCCTACTTTTATACAATGTTGAGATTTTTACAAACTTATTTCATTTAACATGTCATTGCTCGAAGTTAAATATTTGCGGAACTACAACTGAATCCTGACGAGACTTTGCTGATAGAATAACCGTTATTTTCAATAAATGAAATAAATGGAATACTGGAATAATACAAAGGTTCACCAACAAGTGATTTTATCACTTTTGAACTAAGATATGTCGTGGCGTAGATAATCTTAAAACAAAACATTATACATATGAATGATTACATATGCCCAAAGTGGCGTGACAACAAATAAGGTCGAACTTCAGGATCGAAATAAGAATCATCATGACTTACGTGTGAGGCGTTTGCAGCCATAGCAACCGCTGCATTGGCTAGTGTGTTTAAACTACTGAAGGATTCCGGTACAGTTGTAGCTGCAAGCAAACCTGAGGTCACACTCGGCAAACAGCCACTAGTGACAACTAACCTACTCAGGTCAGCAACTGGTAGACACGAATCTAAGGAGTATGTTTGTCCATGGGCTGGAGGTGCAATAAGAAGCGCTGATGAAGGGAGAACAATCCTTCCTGGAAGAGGAGTTGCTGTGTTTTTAGAAATATTTAGGACATGTGGCATTGCCACTACCGGAGCAATAGGAGTTCTAGGCATACCAAGTGACATAACGATCGGATGAGCCTGAGTAACAACAGGCTGTGGTGCAAGAACAGCAGACGAGCAGCTGACAAAAGGTATTGATGAATTTCCTTTTTCTGTTGTATTGATAACCTCAGGGGTTTGTAATCGTCTTAAGGTTTGCTGCAAGCTTTCAATACTAGATGGTGTGAGCTTCTGTAATAATTGTAGCCAGTCATCTTCACTTAACTGGATAGGCGCTGAATTAATTCCAGAGTCTGAATTCTCGTTCACTTCGGTCATCGTATTAATCCTCTCAATTAGCTGAACATTTAACCCTATTGTCAATCCAATTCACTCACGAAAATTTAACAAAACATCATAGTGGTAAAACAAGCATCTCAGAATTCCATGACCCAGTGAAAATACCAGAAAACCGGACAAGTTGTTAATGCCAAAGCGATTGTCCCAGTGGCCAACTTGAATCAGGTTGACTTAGCAGCTAATGACTATCTCATTTTTCTGCCAATAGCAACGCAGTAAATTCAACCAATAAACTAGCTTCAGAATAAATCGATCACATGCGCTACATCACACGCGTCATGCAGCATTGCTGACTAGCTTACAAAACTTACGTAATACGACGCGTCATTATTGTGTCTGGCGTACTATCAGTCAACTAAACGTACACTAACTTGCTGTTTTACTATTGGTTGCCTATTCGTTCTGTAATTGACCAAGATTTTCGTTACTCAGACCTAACGCCATTTTAGGCTTACTGTAGGTGTGTATATTTTAATTGTCAGTTGTGCGTGTCTGGCTATCACTTGTAGGACATTTCATACCTAGGTGAATTGTTAAACAGATCGTCATTTTTTCTAGCCCATGTAGATGTGGCATAATGTAAAAGATATGTGGGAACATTTAGAAAAACAGGATGTTTTTACCACCCTCCTAGCAAGTATTTATTGACACTGATCCGCATTTTTATTATAGAAGGGTGAGTCGCATCCAGATACTTACACGGTTTCTGACATGAAACGGTTTGGTGAGGATTTTAGATTCACTGCCACTTGCCATTAGATGATGAGAACCAAGGAAAATAATATTCTAAAAGAATTGTGGCTATGTTAAGATGCTTTGCTTCATACGCCGAGTTTTTATTGGGGAAGGGATGGTGAAAGCGGACGTTTGACGATTGGTCTATGTATGCTGACACTGAGTTATCAGACTGCTCAATAATTCCCCATCGGACGAAATAAACATCATTGATTATGAGGCAGGTAAGTCTTTGAACTTCGATGTGCCAAAATGCTTGTATGATATAAGCGTTACTTTGGCCATCAGTCAGTTAGATTTATAAAACACCAAAATATCTTAACAGTTATGTAGGTAGGTAATGATACTCTCTTAGGTTGAGTCATTTCCGCTCTGAGATGTGATGATGAGTGTTAACATTAGGTAAAAATGAGACCTGAGTACGATCTGTGTAACTAGCTTCACAGAAAGTTTTACTTCGATTTAAAATAATCCAACTCTCTCGACCATACATCTTCGATTGTGAGATCTCATTTAAACAACAGTCCAGTGTTTAAATGATTCATATCTGATTAGTAAAATCTATCACTAAATGTAGATCCTTCTGAAGTACATTTTTTTAACTAGTCACCAGTACAAAACGTATTTCGCAATAAAAGTTCCATTTAACTAAATGTATACATAATTTTTACCAGTAATATAGTTAACTGTGATATCTCACCTCATTTGGCACTAATTATTTTGAATAAAATTGTCACCATAAAATTTTCGATTTCATTTATCGCTTATATGTGCATTGGAATCACTCAGTCAGTTAAACAATATCATCGACAATTTTGCACAGAAAGTGAACTAACTCAACCCAAAATCATACTTGAAAGTTGAATGAAATTTATTTCTTTATATTCACAGCATTTATTATTGGATGACGAAATCCAACTAAGTAATTCATACTTAAAACTGCACGATACAGACGATGCAGAAAAATCTTAGGGAAATTTACTATTTTCAGTTAGAGTTTTGGAGATTTGTATTTTTACACATTTGAAATCATCAATCAATCATTGTTAGACCACCATTAGGAACCTGGAAGCATTGAAAGACGGCCGTTTCGTCCTGGTATGTGACTCATCAGCAGTGCGCATCCACGACTCCTGCACCTCGCAGGATTCGAACCCGGGACCTTCGGTATTATGCGCGAACGCCCAACCATCGGACCACTGAGCCGGTATCTAACGGTGTTAATGTTTAACTCTGATTGATCTAGGGATTTTACGCGACCTCACCCATTTGTCTTTGATAGTTACTGCCTACACCCGACAGGGTTGAACTCCATTGGTCACGTCTTCTCACTATTGTCATCAGTATTACTATAATTGTTGGCGGTTTCTAAAAGTAATATCATAATATTGTTTAAAATAGTATTTAATTAAGAGACAAAAACATTGTCAAAATGTTCCCGAAATATTTTAGTGACTTAGTGATACTATCTAGACAACCCATTCAAGATGCTCAGATTTCAACTACAGCCTATAATATCAGCAACAAGATTCGAACCTTAACAGATAAAATTAAATCTCATTTCCTTTGAACAAGGTCAGTGGTTTTATCTGAACTCAGTAGCTAAGTGAGTAACGCGTTAGGCATATAAGACAAAAAGTACTTGATTAGAGTCCCAATGTCCATCCAGAGTTCTAAATAGGCCGAAACAAAAGTCCTGGATTCCACTACTAGCCAGAAACAAAGTTTTCATATTTAAGCAATTCGTATAAGTATCACGAATCAAAAGTAAGAGATCTATATTTATCTCGTTTACATTTCAAAAGGAAAATAGGTATACTGCAAAATCTACTCAACATGCTCTAATATACAAGTACAAATAATGACATAACAACTTTCAAATATAATAATATTTAAATTACAAAAAATCTACTGAATGTGCAACAGGCATCTAAGATAGTTCGGGGAAAATCAACAACTAAGCTTTAGAGGTCTTCATACTCAGTTTGTGATAGATCACATGATCAAACCTAATTAACGTTTAGATAAGTTGTAATGATTTAGAGCGAACAAATGCATAGTCAAATTAATTATCATATGCGTAATCTATAAAGACATTGGAAATGTATATTCATTACAACTGGGGAAAAGGTTACAATGAATGAAACATTGGATATGCGACACTGACAAATGATAGGATTAATCAATTGATAAGATGCAAAAAATATTCACTTCAAAATATAAACAACTAGTTTCATTTGAATATTATGTATTTTCAATAGAGAATTATTGAATTTGTAATAAACTTTTTTGAAGTAGTCAAATGTTCATTAGATTAGCGATAACTTTAAAAGAAATTTTATTCAAAAAAATTTTTACATCCTGAAAGTAATATCACTTAAAATATTTGTTCTATATAACTTAAAATTATTTTTTTATATTCGTAATAAAATGAAGATTTTTAAGAGATTTACTTGTGAATATTTTATGATTTTTTAAAAAAACCTCAGTTGTAAATACGAGCTATGTAATACCAACTTAATGGTCTAGAAAATAATCGACCCATTGAGAAACTTGGAGGTTATGGGTTCAATCTCTGATGAGGTTATCTGTGTACTTACTTACCTCTGCCTTTCACTCCTCGTAGAGCACATGCTGCCGATCAACAATCTCATGAGCCTTCCTTTCCAAGTCTTACCAAATGCTATTCATTCTTTTCATGCCTGTCTCCAATTCTCGGAGCAGTATGTTCCCTAATCTAGTTCTTTTCTTTGGCTTTGAGGATTCCAAGTTAAAGGCTAGCTTCGTGATGCAGCTGGGCGATTTCCATAAAGTCTATCCTACCCACAAACATAATGGAGAGGCGTTGAGAGATCCAGTCGTTTAATAGCCAGTGACCAACAATCGGTTCATACACCGTTTGTTCCCTCAGGATCCTGGAGTTTATATGCACCATTGGTTTGGAATCAGGGTATTCTATCTCCCCTAAGTGGATTCTTCGTACCCGCCAACCTGGTTAAAGGTCCGTAAAATTGCTTCTTGTCCTTTCCATTTCGTAAACAATACTGTGAAAACGAGAAGGCGGTGATTAAAACTTCTCTATCAGTGGCTGTACACATGTACCATCTGAGAGAGAGAGTGATATATACATATTGTCATAACTATTATTATTGCAATGTTCATGCGTCCTGATCAAATTCTTGCTTGATAAGTCTAACTGATTTTATTCATTGACAATATATATATATATATTGTATGTAGACTTTACCATGGTCAATAAAATCTATTAATAAAATTTCATCGAATCTAATCAATAAACTAAACGGTTAAACAGCATAGTTCATTGCATTCAAAAAGATCTAGGGATAATAAATGCAACACATTCAAATGTTGTGTATGATTGTTTATTATCATGATGTCAGATTATCGAATTAATAATCAAACCATACAATGAAAAAATTAACTGGATTACATATCATATCTACAAGAATTGAAAAACACATGTTGTATATTGTGACTAATACATTAACATTTGAATCATTAAGGTATTTGAAGCCTAAACAATTAGTTATTGATAATAATTTATTTCCTTTCAAAAAAAATTATAGATATATTAGCGAATACAATTAATGGACGACCGATTTCAGGTTGGTTTAGTTCTTTACGGTTCCTTCCAGGTGTCTACAACCACCTAGTATCTAAACAATGTACAGGCGATGTTTAATCACTGAGACGAATGATTACATTGTAATTTAATCTACACGTTTTTATCAGCATTAAAATGATGGATGATTCTATTACCTGCTAGCTTAGTTACCCACTTTTACAACTGGTCACAATAACTTAAAACATTCACAATTGTTGTTTAATAAGTTCCTTTACTCAAGCTCAGATCTGTAATGATATAGTGTGAAGTACACAAGTATTTATCAAGTGATCTGATGTTTCAGTCTCAAGAAATGCCATTTACAAGGACATTTCTATGTATACTGTCGTTAGTTAGACAGACTTTTGTTTACAATTCAACAAGAAACATCCGTAAATTTCATTTCGTGTTAATCAAATTACAATGATGAATCAAATATAATTTGTGTTATTTAATTAGAAGAGATGAATTTTAGTTAACATTGAATTCCATGATACATGTTTCATCCTTACTTGAGACTGGTCAGCTGGATGTTGGCATTTGCTCCGTAATTTACACTTTATTTATTGTATATTCTTTTTTATGATCCTACTTGTTATAATTCTCTCTTTGTACTACAACCCAGCTATTCCAGATGCTAAGTAGTCTCGGACACCAATCCATTCGAAAATGTACCCCCAAATCAGAACACGGTTGAACAGGGAAAAGATTATATTCCAATAACAAGGTTAGATGGAAGTAGGAAAGTCAGCAGGAAAAAACGTTAGTATATTTATAGTTTATACATGAGAAGACTCTCGAATGTTCCCCCAGTATCGACTAA